GAGGACGGAAGCAAATTTTCGGAGCCAGTTATGAATGACATGATCAAGAATGTCTTTGGCGATGGGGCTATCTTTTTAGAATGCCGTTCGGGAGAGTGTTTGTACAAAACTGATCTTCCAGGTTATAAAGCGCCTGTCAAAACCATCAATACCCCACTTATTGCGGGCGTCATTGCGGGCTGCTCGCTTTTTATCGTAGCCGTTATCTTGGGCATATGGTACTTGTCTAGGCGCTCGGCCTACCGTGATTATATTGCCCTACCTCTTGACGATTCCGATGATGAAGGCGCAAAACTTATGGCCGACCACAACCCTGCCTCTCTACACTTTGAAAATGTTGCCTATTATCTTAACGGGAAGCAAATTCTTTCGGGTATTCAGGGTTCCGCCCATCCAGGCCAAATCATGGCCATCATGGGAGCCTCTGGTGCTGGGAAAACAACATTCTTGGATATTCTTGCTAGAAAGAACAAACGTGGTACTGTGGAAGGTGTCTTCTACGTGAATGGCGAGAAGGTCGACGACGATGAATATCGTAACGTCATGGGATTCGTTGATCAGGAGGATACCATGTTACCCACTCTCACCGTCCATGAGACAATTTTAACTAGCGCTCTGCTCAGGTTGCCCCGGAATATGAGTAGAGCTGCGAAGGAGCAGAAAGTCTTCGAAGTCGAGAAGCAGCTTGGGATATATCACATCAAGGATCAAATAATCGGATCGGAGGAAGGAAAGGGGCGCGGGATCTCTGGTGGTGAAAAGAGACGCGTTGGTATAGCATGTGAACTTGTGACGAGCCCCAGTATTTTGTTTCTGGATGAACCTACTAGTGGCCTGGTGCGTTCCTGCTATCTTTCAATGGTTCTTGGTTTGGTATACTTATTACTAACTTTTTGTAGGATGCTTACAACGCATTCAATGTTGTTGAGTGCTTGGTGACCTTGGCTAAGAACTTCAATCGTACCGTCATCTTTACCATCCACCAGCCCCGTTCGAATATCGTGGCATTGTTCGATCAATTGATCTTACTGGCTGAAGGGAAGACCGTATACTCTGGGCCATTCGCAAACTGTCAACCATACTTCGACAATATCGGATATCCCTGCCCCCCTGGCTTTAACATTGCCGATTATCTCGTTGACTTGACCATGCATGCCAGTACCAATCACTCCCGATATGAGGATGAAATCCGTTTAGATGTCAGCCATGACGCTGCCAAAACCACTTCTAGCAGCCTACGAGCGGTCAAATCCATCGCAAGCGTGTCGAACGCATCCATGGACAATAGCGGCTCGGACCGAGCTCAGGAGTCGGGGTTCCGTCCCATGAGCAAACGTCGACAATCACTTAAGCAACGACAGGACAGGCAGCTCTATACAAGAAAGAGGGCGGCTGAAGTGGATACCCCATCTACTTTACGCACTGACGATGAAGAGACCATGGCCAGTAATCTTTCTGGAAGCGGCCAACAACGATCACGCCAACCAAACAATGTTACCCTTCGAGTCCTCGATGATCCAGATCACCCCCCTCCGACTGCAGCGGGATTCAGCTCCGACCTTGATCATCTAGTCTCCAGCTACATCGAATCCAACGTCGCAGCATCTATACGTGACGAGATCAATGCCGCCGTAAACAGCGCGGCAGAGGCAAACGGCGCTGCGAGCGCGGGACAGGAACCGAACTCCAACGGGTCGGTAAACAGATCGATGACTGGATACGCCAAAGTTGGCCTCATGAGGCAATTCATCATCCTTTCCCAGCGCACCTGGCGCAATCTATATCGCAACCCCATGCTCATGCTCACCCACTATGCAATCGCCATCGTGCTCGCGGTGCTATCCGGATACCTTTTCTACGGCCTGACAGACGACATAAAGGGCTTCCAAAATAGGCTTGGTCTGTTCTTCTTCCTCCTCGCCCTCTTCGGCTTCAGCACCTTAACCAGCCTAAATGTATTCTCAACCGAACGATTACTCTTCGTCCGCGAGCGTGCTAATGGCTATTACTCACCCATAACCTATTTCACCGCCAAGGTTGTCTTCGACATCATCCCGCTCCGCCTCATCCCTCCAATCCTCATGGGCGTCATCGTCTACCCTATGGTCGGGTTGATTCCAGCATGGCCCGAATTCCTCAAATTCATGCTCATTCTCGTTCTCTTCAACCTCGCCGCGGCCGGAATTTGCCTAACCATTGGCATCATCTTCAGAGACGGCAGCGTCGCCAATCTGATTGGTAGCTTAGTGATGCTGTTCAGTCTACTGTTCGCCGGCCTCCTTCTCAACCGCGATGCGATTCCGAAATCTGCACTGTGGCTTCAAACTGTAAGTTCTATTTTCCGAATCCCGTCCCTCCCCCTCCCCCCCCCAAAAGAAAATCCTCCTATATTTAGCTCTCAACACTAAAACCACATCCCTCGACACCAGCTCTCCATCTTCCACTACGGTTTCGAAGGCCTCATCGTCAACGAAGTAACATACCTCACCCTGATCGACCACAAATACGGCCTTGACATCGAAGTACCCGGCGCCTCGATACTAAGCGCCTTTGGCTTCAATACCTTAGGCCTGTGGCGCGATGTTATCGGCCTGGGCGTGTTCTCGGGCGTGTTCATCGTTATTGCATATGCTGCTATGCACTTTTTGCTTGTTGAGAAGAGATAGATATATATTATATACTTATATATATATATATATATGTGTGTGTGTGTGTGTGTGTGTGCATGTGTGCATGTGTGTGTGCATGTGTGTATGTGTTTGTGGTTATGCATGTCCATGAGTCGGGCAAAGGGAATGAGGTACCATTTTCTTAAGCTGTTATCTTTCTTATCTTTATTTACATTTTTCTTGCACGTTTCCTAGCCGTGTTTTGTTTTGTTTGTTATGTATTGTGTTGTTTAAGTTTCTATTGCATTTTTTTCCCCATCCCCTTTAAACCTGTTTTGGTGCATATATTTATCCACAGGGTTTCATGCACAGGTCTGCTACAGCAAACAGGGAACTCTATATGTCACAGCTAGACTTAAAAGGGTCTTACTCAGCACGGCTGATTTGTTACATTGACTGAACTAGCATGAATTTAAGATTTATATGAATGTCTAAGATATATAGATATATATTTATGTGTGATTCGGGATACCTTCTCTCCTTTTCTCAGACTTCTGTTTCTGGACATCAATCTAGCCTTCTATTCGTTCTCCCTGATCAATCATTTTTTGTGTGTAGATATTTAGGAGCCTGTGTACATAGACGTACATAATTCTCTTTGCTTTCTCTCCCTCTCCTGCTCCCCGGGCCGTTTCTGTCTCAAATCGAAGATTCATTCATTTCTTTTTTTCCCCTTTTTTTCGCGTTAAAACTTATTAGCGTATATATCGCACCTTGACAATCCTCGTGTCAATTACGTGAAATAATGGCCGTCTACTCTCACCATTTCCCTTTCCTCAGATGGGGATCCCCTATTTAAGAAGAACTCTAGGAAAATAGGGAATGAAACTGTGATTATCAAGAAGCTCAAACAATCAGAAAAGCCTGTCCAATCCTGGCCTGGCCTGGCTAGATAAGCATCCCTTTAGAGAGTTGCAAAACTGATCAAAAGTTTTAGTTGATGAGGGATTTCAGAGTTCTCACGTTCTAACACTTCTTCTCTTTTATTTCCAAGAGTGCTGAGGAAATCCTGAATCTTCTTCAGTAATTTAGTCCTCTGTCAGAGCTTCACCCTCAGAAGATTGAAAATCAACAATATTTAGAGCTTGGGTGCTTGCTCTTTTTCTTCATCCAGCCCAGAATCTGAAGCTCTGTTACACTTCATGCCCCTGACATCTCTCTCTTGTTCTGGACTAGGTCCTCCCAGCAGCAGCACAAATTCTTTAACCTTTTCAGTGACCATGAGGAGGGCAGATGGAAGGAATTGGCAGATTTGAAAATTGGCAACTATTTTCTGAACAAAGGATGCACAAAGACAACTGACAACAAAGGGTTACAACAACAAGATCAATGTAGAGAAAAATGCAGCAGAAGGGTATAATAGAAAGATGAAAACAACACGAACAACAAAGGTAGATAACAATCATATCAATAAAGGATCCCAATACAACACTTGGGAAGGAGCACAAAAGAGGTAAACAAAAGAGGAAAGAATAGGTGAGGCCAAGGAGGAATCCTCAATGAACACTAAACAATCAGTGCGTCAAGAACGAGAAGAGTTTGGTGATATCTTAAGAGAGGTTATCCGGAGGAGGGAGGAGACAGGTATTGGAGGGATTTTCCTGCAGACCCCTCCTCTACTCGAATATTTCTTCTTCCCGAGTTGATAAATATCCTACCCGCTTGTAGGATGAGTGATCATGCAAAGTATTTGCAAGTAAGAACATGAATGAAGTAGAATCCGGATCACGTAACTCCGTAACTGATCAACAAACCGCACTCCTAGTGATGATAATGGTAAGTTAAGTACAAGTTGACAGATGAGTTGAATAAATATCATAGTAAAGATTCACGGGAGGAGCAAAGAAGTAAGCAGAAGGAATAGTTAACCAACTTGGGCTAGGGTCTTCAGCTCTCAATGGTGTCTAGCCACAACTGGGATTCTCTCAGTCTTCTTATCAATGGGGAATTCTTATAGGTTTTTATGAGCTCCTCCGAACCATCGTTGGAGTGTATTCAGCGAGGTATGACAGCGGGTATCTGTCAATCCTAATCATTATTACCTTCGCCGAGAGGCCTTCCTTCGCGAAACCGCGGTCATCTGCGTTTTGTTCGAACGCAGAAACCAAGCAAATATTTGATACCCAAAGTTGGATCGGGGTGTTGAATAATAGCCAGGTGCAGTGCTGGAAATTATATGGTAACTAACCCAAGTACAACCCCTTTTTGAGCAATCCATTAATCACACAATCAGGCTATTAGACCTATCATCATTGCACACGAACCTACTAGACATTCGATCTATTTGATGTTTTTTTTTTTTTTTTTTTTTTTTTTTTTTTTTTTTTTTTAAATTTTCCTTCGCGTCTCCTTCCAGGTTGTTCACAGCCCGGATTGCCGCTTCATAGTCATTATCACTAGAGTCTCGAATCAGCTCATTGTGAGGACTTCAGGCGTGATTCGGACGATTTTTCTCAGTGACATACGCCCCAGCTCCTAGCCAACGAATCTATTTGCATATTCATGCGTTCACTCTGCCCGTTTGGCTGTGGGTGGTAGGCGGTCTTCATCCAATATAATTGCATTGAAACGCAGGTCTCGATCCGAGATGACAGCAACTGCCATTGACAGACGACGCGGGTATAGAAGGCGTCCGCTTATTGAGCGATAGTCCAAGTTCTGGTCACTTCACCAGTTTCCGATTTTAACTGCCGGCATCAAAATGTTGCTCAAAATGTTGCTCGTTATTTTTCGTCATCTTTTGATCTCTTTGCTGGGAGAATTGCGGCTTGTTGGAAGGGTAGAAGTGTTCGCAATTTCGTGCAGCATGACATCCGGTTTTGAGGGATCGAAAAATTCGCCAACTGTTTTAGACATTTATTCACCTAAGGTGGACATCAATAGTGACTCTCGTAGGCGATAATATATCGTTGGCCATGATGATATTGCATCCGAGGGAAGTTGTAGCCCATATATGCGCCGGAGTCGGAAGGTACAACTATTCTGCAACCCCCCTCGCGCCACCCCAGAGAGCATAGGGATCCAGGATGAGAATGGATCATGTCGGCAAAAATAATTGGCAGTTCCTCGCCAGTTTTTTTTTACCGCCAAATAGCGTAAAGTGTTTGGTGAAATAGGCATCTGGCGAAACAATGAGAGTTCACCTTGCATCAGATTGTTATATCAAAGACGGCATTTTCTCAATTTTCACTCCCAAAGCCTTAGAACAACTCATATCCTGGAGCGAATCCATGAAATACCAACTCTCATGTTTTTGAACACCATCAGCCTCGTGGTGGATGATATACTCAATCCTAGCCGGATTGGGTAGGTCTTCGCTCCAAGCCAGAATATTTGAGATTGGCAGCGAGGGTTTTAATTGTACTATCTCAGAGGGCTTTGGCTTAGTTGTGCAAAACGGGCAAGCAAATCCTCAAGAAATAGGGGAAGTTAGTAAAATATAAAATAATACATGGCAGCAACTTCTGAGTTGATTTTTAACTTCGGTGGTCCAGCAACTGGAGATTAGATTCTTGCAATGACACGTTTCTCAGCGCCCATAGTAAGGATAAATAAATGAGCCTGCGATAGTTAACCTGCTGCCAAACTAGACGATGACCGTGGCCCGAGTGGAAGGCGAGTGATCTTAATATTTTCTCCTTGTTCAAAATTCAGACAGCCAACACTGATGACACTCGACTCGATGATATCCCATTTCTGTTTTCCATACTTCATATTCTGGATGCACCATCGCATCACTTGATGGCTGTTTCGCACAAGCGCGAGAAATCAATATGAAGGAATCGCGCCTGACGTAGGAGTTGATATCGATGTAGCCATCTGCCAGCTGCGCAAGTATAAGGGTCAAGGAGCATAGTGCGTGTTAGTATATCAGATCTGATTCCCATGGGGGGTAAGATATACGTATATATATACATGCTTCATATCATGCTAGTCCTAGTATTGCCAAACGAAAAACGGCTGGTGGACAAGTTTGCATAAAGTTAAGATGAATAATGTGTTTTTGATAGAGCCTAGTTCTATGCTTATATCTTGATGTTGGGAAGGCGTTGCGGCTGGGTGGTCACATCTGGAACACTCCACCAACCCATCAAATCATTATTTTGGGTTGTAGAAGTACATCACCGTATCAACCACTGGATCGTGATTCAGCTGCCACCAATCAACTTGACGAAGCACCTTTCCCCGACAAGAAATAGTAGTTTGGCTAGGTAATTTCGCAGTATATTCATCCCTAGGCAACAGTGGGATATAGGGGCTCGGCACAGTTTGTTCGCTTTCGGGCGTTGCGTCTGCTTCGACGACATTTAGCGACAAGCGTAGGCTCCACTCGAGTTGACGGACTGGGATAATGTCGCATACGGTGGCGCCACCTGCAACTCGATCGAGGCGATCAAGAAGAGGAGATTGGGTCTCGGAGCAGTATTCCATAAAACGAGCACAATAATCCAAAATGTAGGAGGCCTTGGGGTCTACCATTACGTAGAGTCTGCGTAAGTGTACTAGGTCTTCTAGATCGGGGAGGTCCCGTGTCTAGATTAATTAGACAAGGTTCTTGTTAGAATGGAAAAGCTGTAGCCTGGGAGAAGCGTGGGGGATAAATTTTTTTCAAACCATACAAATAACCCGGGGGGCTGGACATAAGCCAGTTCCTCAAGAAGCGGACAGAGAACTCTGAGTTTACGAATGGGTAGATGGGATGGCGAAATGGGCGTTGTCATGGCGAGCATTCGAAGAGAACGAAAATCGCGCCCTAGATGGGCAATGAACTGGTCGATGCTTAGGTATGTCAATCGAGCAGCTATCTCGTCCCAGGAATTCCAGGAACTTTCACGGTTAGCAAGCGATTTACCCTCAAGTGCGAGCGATTCGAGTGATCGATAATCCTTCCACACGAACGACGTCCCCTGATCAACCCTGCGGGTGTGGTATCTGGAGATGCGAAGATGTTTCAGACACGCAACGTCGACTGCTTTCAAGAATGTTTCCTCAATAGAATCTGAAAATCCATAATCGTAATACACATGGCCAAGTAGATCAAGCGACTGTAAGCAAAGCTTATCGGATGTGTGCACAAACGGCTCAAACAGCACCGAAGTCGGGTCACCTTCACCGTCATATACGCATTTTGGCGCACAGTGTGGATAGCCACAATGGTAAGTCAAGTAACCCCACAACATTGCCCAATTGCCGAAGCGGAGCGTCAACGACTTCAGAGTCTGACGGTGGGTGTAAATAGCGTTTCTCAAGCCTAGAATTTCGGCTTCCGTACTGGCCTTGATGGAAAGTGACCGGAGAGGGCATTGAGACAAAAGCTCGATTTTCAGTATATCAAGAGGATAAGCACGGTTTGTAACACGTGGATCGCCATCGTAAGTAAAGGCAGTTATTCCTTTGGTTGCAAATGCTTCCATTAGGTCGTCCGGGGGAACAGGATTTGAGGCCCAGCTTGTTCAATCAGCGCATTGAATCATTATAACGATTTCATTTTGCGGAGGAGGGCATACATAACCTCGTCCAGAGAATGCATTTCGCGAACGCAACCCAACAAAAGCTCCATCGCCAGCGACTCGCCCCGTTCGAAGGAATCAGACTCGTTTGGAAATAAGATGGACAATTTCTTGATAGCCGGACAGAGAGTCTTCCTGTCTCTATACAGGCCACGAAGTTGCGTGAGCCAGACCGGCGAGTATTCTGGTTTCGATCGTGGTCGCAATGTGTTATCCAACTCAATGATAGTGTGCTGGTAAAGCAGGGGGGTGGTTTTTCGGCGTAGAGAGCGGGATACGCAGCACAACGCAGCACGGTCCCGGTAACGCAGAATCTATGCTAGATGTTAATATGACATTGCGAACAGGAGCAACGCAAACGAGGCATCATACATGGGAGCCTATAAGCCAGATAATTTCAATAGGAAGGTTCTCCATGGTCGAGCAAGTTGGCTGGTGCGGATGTAACTACTATGGCCCGTCAAATGGGCTTCAAGAGGGTGGTTTGGGTCCTGACAGCGACGTTAGAGTAACTCGGCTTCTGCGTTTTCAACAGAGGCAGAAGGTTCCTGTATTTATGACGGAGAACTGTGACTGACTCATTATTGGCGGGGCCTGTACGGATGTAATTACAGATTGCTTGAGCGAACTAAATAGGTGGCTGTCAACAAGTCCGAACTATATCGGGTCAGACCCATTTATACAGACATACGGAACCTGTGGAAGAGCTGCACGAGTTGCGCATACGGCCATACAAACATAGCTCGATCGCTTAATGACATCAAGCTTACCTGAGGCAGCGATGTACTGTACTGTACATGGGATGCTAGAGCTGATTATCTCTCCGGGTCCTGGTAAAACGCGTAACTAGAAGAAGCTCGAGATGTATATGGAGATGATGTTTTGCATACTGGCTTGGCTGTAAGGGCGGCAAGAATTTCATAAATAATAGGAGCATCACGTCCCTCCCGAGACTGGATTAATACTGAGTAAAACTCCTGACTCTTCTGCCTTATTTATTCTATCTGTCTCATCTTGTGAATAAGGAAACGTCTGTTGAACTTTTCCTTGTTTTCACTCTCAATCCCTTATCTGCACTTCTCTTCCCCAGTAAAAAATGTTAGACATCACCAGAGTCACTATCATCGGAGTAAATTCCCCCTTTGTTTCATCTATGATCCCCTTCATGTATTCATACCCCCACCTATCTACATAGCGCTGAACCATAATCCCAATCCCCAACAACCTCCTTGCCGCACGGGCGGGTGGGTTTGAGCCTACTCTATCGTTTCCCCCAATCTGATAACTTGACACCTACAGGCTGCTGGCCACCTAGGCCAACACATCTTAACTACCCTAACCTCCGAGCGCAAACTCATCACCCAAATCCTCCCCCGCACCAACTCAACATCCACCTTCCCCGAGGGCATCCCAGTCATCAGGGCCAATTTCAGCTCGGTCGAACTCTCTCAGGCACGCTCTACGGGGCCAAGATGCGATCATTAGCGTCGTGGGGATTGGTGGTGTATCCGACCAGATCAATGTCATCGACGCAGCTGTTGCTGTTGGTGTGCGCCGATTCATGCCAGCGAGTTTGGCAATCATCCCGAGTCCGACCATAAGCGGTTGCCGGAGATGACAGCGACGCAGACGCAGAAGATAGCTGTCATGAAACACCTAGCTAAGAAGGTCGTAGAAACAGAAGGCAGATTCTCGTGGACGGCGATTGCGGTAGGAAATTTTTTTTTTGATTGGGTACGTTTTTTTGGTCTATTTTGTCTAGGTATTCTTCTCTTGTTCATATATATACCCCCAGCTGTGAGGAGAGAGAAATGGGTTAAACGCCGAGGTGATATCTTAATTGACCTTGATGATAGTCTATTAAACGATTCCCGGCCTTCGGTTTCGACCTACCCAACAAGGCGGCCCGAATCTACGACTGAGGCAACGAACCCATCACAGGTGTGCTCATCGATTCAGTCTGCCAGGCCGTAGTCGGCACCTTTTTCAACCCGACCGAAACGGCAAACAAATTCCTGCGCATCAGGTCCCTGCAGACGACGCAGAACCAAATTCTAGCGGCCTTCGAGCAGATTTCGGACTCCAAATGGGCCGTCGAGAGAATCTCAACCAATGAACTCTATCGAGCTGGAAAGGAGAAGCTGGAAAAAGGGGAAGAAGGGTGGATTTTGGATATTCTTTGTACGCAGATTTTTGCCAATGGAGGGGATCGTTCGATTGTTGCGACGAGGGAAGATTCGGTTAATGCATTGGTTCGAGTTCGGGAGGTGGAGTTGGCGGATGTGATTAGGGATATTCGTCGCAGAGAGTCGAGATATGTAGAATAAGTTGCATGAAAGCCGGAATATCATATAATATCAAGGTTGATTTCAACCCCTTACGCGCACGTAAACAAGTAATCCTCGATGGTCTAGTGGTGATGATTTCCGCTTGTCATTAATAAACAATGTCGAGCGCGGGAGACCAGGGTTCGATTCCCTGTCGGGGAGACATCCAAATATATTTTTACAATAATTAATATTTCTCTTCTCGCCAGTTTCTGTCTTTGATCTTCCGCTGCGCTTTTTCTATTTCTTTTGTGATTTTGAATGCAGTCGGAAATTCTCCACACATGCTCATATGCTCGTTAGTGCTTAGCACGTAGATTTACCGCCTCGTTTGAAACTGGCTCCGCATAAGTCACGCCCACTTGTATTCAAGTAGATGTAATATTTGCCCGATAATCAAACGTAGGTAGTTCCCGTTCTTTAATTATCGGTATAACTCGAAGTCGAACTCGATGATGATGTCTCCACGCCCCGTTCCTCGTCTTCAGTATGCCCGTTCTCATCGTCACCATCACTCGTGTTGTCCGGCAATCTAATAAACCAAACCGCCACGAAAATCATGCCACACAAGAGTGCGATTCCGAAATATGGCAGTCCAACCCACCCATTGCCCATCTTCAATCCTAGCGAAAACAAACCAGCCAGCAACGGTGAGGTGAGCCAACAAAGACGCCCAAAGTTGAAACCACTGACACCACAGAATATAACCGCGCAATATGCTGAGGTTCAACGTAGGTAGCTACCAGGCTCAAATTTAGGGAATTAAACCCGGAACCGAGCGTGAAAATGACCAATCCTGTTATCATAGTGGCGATTGTAGGGGCAAGGCCCAAGAAGAGGGCCCCTATCGTGTACATGGTGATGCTATATCTGGACAAGATGAGATCCTTGGTAGTAGTGGAATAACGCCGGTTAAGGGTGAGGTAGCGGGAGACAGTGGGCAAGAAGACGAGGAGCAGGAATATATTCACGCCCGCGAAGATGGTGAGGGAGAAATTTGCTGTGGATAAAGGGATGCTATAACGGGTCGAGACGTAGAGTAGCATGATTGACAGGTGCTTACTGCCGACGTTGGAGACCACATGTAGCACATATTGTGCCTACAAAGAGAGGCTTCCAGGGGCCGCCCTTTAACATCATCCAGGATGATACGAGGGGTGCCACAAATTGAGTGAGCACGACCGCCAAAGCAATCTGGAAAAATGCACTTGATCTAAAGATAAAAAGACAAGACTGAGAACTAGGGCGAATTGATAGAAACCCATGCGTGATGAATAGCGGGATCATACCTAGATCTAGTCTCAACAATATCCGTAATCATTGTCATCAGCATAGTAATAGCGATGCCAGTCCCACCCCCTAGGAGGAGAGCTGCTGATCCCAGCCATACTGAGCGGAGAGGCATGACTTGGGCGAACCAGCATACCATAATTACCCAAAGTTGGCCTAATAAAAGGCCAGCCACCGCAAGAGCAAGAGTAAATTTCCTTCCATATCTAACATTGTCCGCGAGACGGCCGTACGGGACAGAGAGTAAAATGCCCATGAAAGTCCAAAAGTGAACCCAAGCGGATAACAAATCAGCTACAAACAGACGAACGTAATATTCGGGTCAGGGGGTTTGAGGTGCCTTTGCAGACAGCTCTCATGTCCAAAAAGACAATGAAAACGAAAAATCAAGGAATAGTAATATCACCACGTACTGGGAAGCGCTTCGAAGCTGATTTGTAATCCTTGCACGAAGGCCAGTTCGCTCTGCACAGGTGAGATTTTGCACTTCTCCTCTGGAATCTCTTCCAACAATCGATATCGACCTGGGTCACGTTTTTCATAATAGGTGCGATGGGCTATAGCTTCGCAGATGCGAGCTAGAGGAGCGATGGAGAGGTAAGCTCCAGAATCAATGAAGAATACTATAAATACACATAGAAAGACGAAAACGACGGGTTTGCTCCTGAAAACTCGAGGGCGGGCTGGTGGCGGACGTGAATCCGTCCCCAGGAGTGTGTCTGTCTCATTGAATGTATGATCGGAGTCGGCCGCCATTATTAGGGTAATTTTTGGCAGCACAGAATTATTTGAGATCCCTAGGTAGGGAGATAGGGAACTCTTGGGAGTGATTCGGGGCGAAGAGAGTTGGCGCTGCTGCTGCTGTTAGGGTTGAGTGCACTCAGGAACTTGTCAGCCCTAGGCAGAACAATTAACAAGGCCTCGAAGTAACCGCCCTGACATCATGTATCATGCAACTAAGAAACATTAGATGCCATATTATTGCCATTGAAGGTAGTAGTTAGTTTTAAAAAACAGGATTTGAGGTATATTTTGTGGTGTTCTGGCCATGCTGTTATATTCTTTTCGGCACTTGAAGTTGATCGATACATGCTGAGGTAGACTGACTACGCTCGTATCGTCAGGCCAGGTTCGGTAATATGCTATGCATAAGTAATCAATGTATGTAGATAGTGATGACAATTTGGAGCTGATTGAGTATTGATATCTCGGGGTATTCTATTTAAATCCACTGCTTCCACTCAGACTTATCAGCATCCTGAATAGCAGCAGCCCTGTCACCTGGTAAAGATTGAAGTATCATCCAAATCGTATGGAGGAAAACTATTTTTTCTGATATCTTGTATTTTTCATGAAAAGTAACATAACGGATACTGTGTTTGATTTCCATCCCGCTGTTGTTTGAAACTTTGAGGGTCGCCAGTTATGGAGCGGTAGAGGTAGGATAAGGTGTGTCCGCTGTTGACGGCCTCTTGCTATTCCAACGTAGTGGTGATTGAGGGACACTTATGCTCCGGGAAAAGAAAACGGGTAGATTGCACAGTATCATAGCCAGAGAGAAGGACCTAAGGCAGTAAGTATATCTGTTCTTAGCAAAGGATAGGGATCGAGATGATATTAATATCTGAGAAATGAGGTCGACGGTTTCCCTCGCTAGTTATTTAACTAGTTACTATTTCAATAAATATTTAAAAGAGCCTCAGCCAAGCCATCCATCCACCAACCACCGACTGCCAACTGCTAGTTAAATAACATATCTGCCAACGTCCGCCCACCGCCAAAGCCTTTCCGCACCACCCAACGCCTGTGTCAGCTCTCTCCAGCTTTTCGCATCCTACGTTCTCTCAGACTGACGACCCCTCGACTCCTATCTACCGCTTTTGCTCCTGTTTTCTCTCGCCGCCTCGACGCCCATATAGCTCTCCATGCCGCATCGCTCCTATTGGCTCGTTTATATAAGCTAGCTAGCCCATCCAGCCCTCGCACATTTTGTCATCCGCCTGCATACACATGCGCGACTGCTGCTACTTTCGTTAGAAGAAGGCATTTCCAGACCAGCTACTCCAGGACACCTTTTATGGTCGGATATCGGGATATCGTTCATATCGGGAATACACTCGGGTTGTGCGCGAGCTATCCTCCAGTTCTGACGTAAATATTCACGAATACGGAAACCAGCCGTGCAAAGTCAATATAAAACCGCCCACCCTCTCTTGAAAAACATAAACAACATCCATCATGTCTGGCGAAGCGTGGCTCTACTTGTTGGCGGTACTGTTAAATGCCGTCAACCTCTTTCTACAAGTTTTCTTCACGATTATGTACAGCGACTTGGAATGGTGAGTGGGCGCATTTTCCTCATTCGGGGAATTCCCGCAAGAAAACTTACATGAGACTCGCTGGGTGTCCCTCCCTCTTGTATACGGGTGCTTTAAGCGGCGTTTATGCGAATGTGAATAAAGGCACTTTTTTAGCTAACCATGCGGCCCATGCTATAGTGATTACATCAACCCCATTGACCTTTGCAACCGACTCAACGCCTATATCGTCCCAGAAGCCGCCGTTCATGCAGTCCTAACGATCCTCTTCGTTGTTAATGGATACTGGCTGGCCATAATTCTCAACCTCCCCCTTCTGGCATTCAATGCGAAGAAGTATGTGTTATTTGTTTTGAAACCTCTTGGATAAATATGCTTGCGGTTTATAAACAGCGGCGCACTAACTCGTCATGAACAATGCAGGATATTCGATAACCAGCATCTTTTGGATGCTACGGAGATTTTCCGAAAGCTTAATGTGCACAAGAAGGTATCCATGCGCTTCCCTTTCTGCTCCATTTTCCATGATCGGGTAACTAATTTGTCCCGTCCACAGGAATCATTTATCAAACTCGGATTTCACCTTATCATGTTCTTCTTCTACCTCTACAGTATGATCGTCGCCCTAATCAGAGACGATCCACATTGACTACGTGAGAAAACGGCAAACGCGATGCGGGATGGTCGTCCGGCTGGTTTGTAATCCCACAGCTACCAGAAGCTGAACCCCGAGGTCAACGAGTAATTCGAGCCGACCAACTTCGAAATCCAGAATAGAAGGATGGACATTTGTTCGTAGAATAATAGTCCATCCCACGCCATCCTTAAAACCCCAATATTTGAGTTTCCATGTGCTTTTTTTTCTTCTCTTTTTTCTTCTCTTTTGCGAGCCGCGTTTGTTGATAGAGTTGACTGTGTTCGGAAATGGTTTCATTTTGTTTTATGTCTTTCCTTACATTGGGAGGGTTTATTTTCCCTATATGATACGCCTTAGGAGATGAGAAACGATTCTGTAATAGTGCTTATGTTTTTCTACTTGTCATTTCCAACGTTTATTTCCTGTTTGTCTTTCTCCTTAACGTTGGGTTGACGGGTATGAAAAGAGTGATGTATGAGATAGGCGGGCACGAAGGGTGCGAAATTCGAGGTATATTTGAGAGCGGGTGCTGGAAGTCTACATATGTTTTCTTATCCCTAATATCCTGCCAATCCTTGTGTATACATACTTAAACTTATAATGAAGAGCGTAAGATACACGCTCATTTCCCTTGCATTTTCTGATATAAGGCACCTGCGAGGGCGTTGTTGTTCTGTTGCTTAAATAACTAGCATTCTGCACTATTAAAACGTACTAGGTGACAGATATTACAATATAAGTAAATTATTTTCTGT